TCCTCCTCCTCCTCCTCCTCCTCCTCCTCCTCCTCCTCCTCCTCCTCCTCCTCCTCCTCCTCCTCCTCCGCCTATGGGGGCGGCATCCGCCCCAGGCTCCAAGCCCGTGCCTGCCCCTCCCCCTCCCCACCCCCCGCGTGCGGCTGGGGATGCTCCTGGGGTTTCGGCGGAGCACGATTGAGTTTGGAACCTCGGAGGCTGGGTGTGCAAGCTGTGTGAGACTAGAGCCTTGACTGACCTCAGAAAGGAGGCAAGGCTCAGGGAGAACTGCACGGGCAATTCTCCACTTCAGACCCTCGCCGAAGACAGGCACGGGCAGAACCTTGTTGTTGCTGACTTTAAGTCGGGAGAGTCGTTCAACAGTGCTTCCCGGAGTTGTGGAGCCTACGCTATTTCGAAGCCTCGCAACTTGTGTGCTCCCTGTCCCGCACAGGTCGCTGAGACCCAGGTTCGTGGTGCCAGGCATGCCTGGGAGAGGACCTGCAAGGGCAGACATCCCAAGAAGGCTGGGGTCAAAGCGTGCCAGCCGATCCCCTTGGACCAGCGTTTTGTGTCCCTTCCTCTGGAGGCGGCGGAGGAAGAGAGGGAGCCTGCAGGCGCACCCCGCGCCCTTCTTCGCGCGCGCCCGCCTGGTGGGTGCTGCTGCCAGTGGCAGCTCAAGGTTTCGTGTTAGGGTCTGGTCGGCGAACCCTTAGCCTTCAGATTCAATCACGTGCTAGTCCCAATCCTCCTCCTCCTCCTCCTCCTCCTCCTCCTCCTCCTCCTCCTCCTCCTCCTCCTCCTCCTCCTAACCACCACCACCACCCTCCTCCGCCTCCTCCCCCACCACCGTGCTCCATGTCGAGACCCGCGCCTCCTGGACTGGGCTGGAAACTACCACAGAACGCGCGAAGCTTGAACGGTGCCATGCCCTTATCACAAAAAGGAAAACGAGAACGAGCTTCAGAAAAAATACCGCCTGCAGTCGGAATCCTAGTAGTCCCAACTGTGCCCGTCGAAAGAGGGATCCACCAGGTTGAAGAAAGAACGGAGGCCCTCATCTGGGGCATCCTCTGCGCCTATGGAAAACGGCGCCCGATCGCTTTGGGAATCGGAAAAATGAGCCTACAAAGCGATGGGGGGCGTGGTAAAAAACTGGCACAATGGCGGTGAATACTGCTTGGCTGGAGCAGCCCTGCATACTCCTGTGGAATATTTTCCCACCAGGGTCCTGCGGGATCCCGGCAGGTGGCAGCATCTATCCTTTCCCGGTGCACGGGCAAGGGCTTCTCGAAAAAGCACCAGATGGATCACCAGGAAAATAATAGGCTTGGCACTCGGCGCCTCGAAACAGCACTGATCAACCCAAACGAAGTCAACCGTGCTTTAGCCCTGAAGCAGCGTCTTCAGGTGCAACACTTCAGAGACAAACCAGGAGCTCAGAAGGAAGGCGTCGGGGGAGGGGCGGGATGTTCGTGGATGCCCGCGGCCCCGTAAACAAAGCAAGCGTACATGAAAAATACCGAGGTCCTGAGGAGGTCAGTGCCGAGGTCCAACTGAGCCTACGAAGTGGCTTGGTGGATGCCCCAAAAATAGTTCAAGGCTCTGATTAAACGGGGACCGAGGTCCTGAGGAGGTCAGTGCCGAGGTCCAACTGAGCCTACGAAGTGGCTTGGGAGAAGCCCAAAAAATAGTTCAAGGCTCTGATTAAACGGGTACCTCCATTAGACAGCTCAAACCTCCGGGCCACACAGCAGCCTTCACACGGTGTGCCAGCGAGCACACCAATGGCGTACCCTTCACGAGAAAAGTCTGAACGGCCGGAGGGTCCAGCACAATTCCAGCAACGCACTCGTTTTCGAACATCTGCGGATAGCATCGCTATGGGTGAGGGGCCTGGCGCACTGACCCATCAAAGTAAAACTGCACATCCCACAGCGTCTCCGACCGCCAAATATCGCGGGTTGGCAGAACTGGGTTTAGTGGGACCTGGTTTAGTGATGTGTACTGGGGGACGCCCCCCCGGAACTGCCGCCACCCGAAAAGACACCAGCAACGGCAGACCTGGTTTAATGATCCTGGCCAGGTTAAGGGCTCCGAGGCTGTACCACTGACCGGGTCCCTTTACCTGGGGTCCTGGCTATACTCGAAAACAGATGGAGAACAGACAACGTGCGACCAACCGGCTTAATGACGAACGAACAGCACACACCCATACCCATAAGGGGGTCGTTGGGAGGAGTACTGGCTATGGGTATGGGTGCGGGTTGTCGGACCCTAGGAAACGCTCCCGTTCGAGCGGGGACCCCCATCCGACAACACGCACCCATAGCCCTTTCCGACCTCCCTATGGGTATGGGTGTGTGTTGTTGGTTCGTCAGGCTTGGGAATCGCCAGGTCATCGACGAGGAAGGGGGTCCCGACCAGGATGGGAGCCGGCGGGGAGGCCGGAAGAGAGCCAGCTCCTCGAGCCCACCAGGCGGACCAGAAGGGATCGGAGGGCCTTAGGAGGTATATTTCGGGACGGGGGCCTTCTCAGCACGGAGGCCACGTTTCTTCATGCAGCAAGTGCTCCCGGCAGCCCCCTCGCGTTCTTGCTGGATCTGATCATCAGTGGCCGGCGGGAAGAAGGTCACCTGAGCCTCGAAGCACGCCAGTCTCCCATGCTCAAAATGACGTACCAAACGTTGCGAGAGCGAACACGTGTAAGGCAATGAATGCTGGCAGCTGGCGGCCACGATGCACTGCAAGGCGATGTCGTTCGCTGGGTGCGCCTGCAAACGGTGCGTGCGCCACGCACTGATCGTGGCCAGCACCCGACATATGGCCTCAGTCGCGACAGACGTAACACACACTTCGGGGGGGCGCCGCCACACAAGAGAAGGGTGGGGGAAGGTGGTGGCCCGTACACATTTGAAAAGGGTGCGCCTCCAAATCTCGAGCTCGAACTGATCAACCCCCAACGCCTGCGAGCAGTGTAAGCACTCGGAATCACTCGGGAGAAACCAGTCTGATCCAAACGAACCATCTTTGCCCAGTGGGCCAAAGGCGGGGTGGGTCATCCTTCTAATATGAAAGACGATGAGCCCAGACGAAGCCTTCTTGAACAACATGCCCCTATGAGTCCCTGCCCTCCAGCAGGTGGTCAATAAGAAGACGTAGCTCGGGGGACCCCCTGCAGGCCACGCGGCCAAAATACTTGAGGCGGCGAACCCTCGAGAGGGTGCTGAGATCAGGACGGTCCACCTCAGTCAGGATTTCGGCGTTCATGGGACTTCGCCCAGGACAAGCGTCTCGAGACTTGCCGACGCTGGCGCGGAAGCTACCCGCATTAGCAGACGAGGCACAAGAAAAAATAGAGGCAGGCAAGCGACTCCAAATCGAACAGATGTAGAAGAGGGCAGAAGAACCCCAAAACGTCGGTCTATGAACTTTCCTGGCCAACGCCAACTTCGGACGAGGGAACCAGAAGCTTTCAAAGGGCCGAGCGCGACTTGTTGACGGCAACGACGGAGCGTGAGCCTGGGACGAATCAAACCATCGCTGTGTGACCCGAGAGTCTTGTGCACATCTGGAAGTTCGACCGTCACCCCAAAATCGGCAACGGGGTGGTGCCCCTTGTTTGCCTGTGCCCCGCTCCGCCTCATCCTCCTCCTCCTCCCCCTCCTCCTCCGCCTCCTCCTCCTCCCCTCCTCCTCCGTATCCATTTTGGCTCAGGCAGGAGCTGGCAGGGGACGCGCGGCCCCATCCGTTTTCCCGTTTCCCGCGGGGCGCTCGCCCGCCCCGCACCAGGAAGCACTCCTCTCCCACCAAGATGGCGAGGAAGGGCGATGTCAGTGTCTGCGCATGCGGAAATTGGGCGTACCCATCGGTCGGAAGAAGTAGGTAGAAACATGAAATAGGAAGGCGTTGGAAATAGATTGGGTTTCCGCCCGCCTCCTGAAGAGGAGGGAAGAGGGAACACCACTCGACTCTTGAAGTAGGAAGGCGCTGAAAGTAGATTGGAATCTGGGAATCCAAAAATACCTACTTTCAACGACCGATGGGTACAACTTCCGCATCATGCGCAAACAACGGTACGTGTGCGAAGTGCGGGCGCGAGGTGGCAGTCTACCAGCGGGCGCCACCGTGGCGCGCCTCGCGCTCCTCGTCTCGGTCATGGAGTGCCTGGACTGCTCCTTCGGAGGCCTCTCCTGACCCACAGACGTTGCTGGAGCAGCTGGCGCAGCTCCCGCAGTTTGCCAAGGAGCTCGCCCCACTGCAGCGCGCGCAGGAGCGGTTCCAGGAGAGCCAGGTGCGGGTCCCGACTGCTCAGGAGCGGTACACGCAGACCGCCAAGGAGCTCAAGTCGAAGGAGGAGGCGATGCAGCGGGCCACCAAAGCGGAGGCAGAGGCTGAGGCCAGGCTGGCGGCTGCCACAGCTACGGCAAAGCAGGCAGCGCTGGACCATGCAGTGGCCAAGGCGAAGCACGCGGAGGCCGTTGCACTTGTGGCGGAAGAGGCGGACATCAAGCGAGTCCCCCAGGGCTACACGTCGGACGGCAAGCGCGTGGTCTTCGCGGTCGACGGCGACTTGTTCAAGGATGTCTCGGCCCACGGCGAGGAGGGGCAGAAGATGTTTCGCGCGTTGGAAGGCATCATCAAGGAGAAGTGCGAGCAGGTGGCAGCGACCCAGGCGACGGTTCATGAACACTTCGCCAGGGTCAAGGACATCCGCTCGGGGGCCACGAAGAGGCAGCGCGTGGATTAGAGCGGTCAAGCTGCCAGAGGCTCAGGTGCTGAGGCGGCGCCTGCGGCTGCCACGGACCGCGAGCCCGAGAAGCACGACACCCACGCGCAGGGAGAGTCGGAGCCGACGGCCGAGGTCAAGGCTGCTGCAGAGGCCGAGAGGGCTGCGGTCTTGGAGACGGAGCGCAAGAAGATCGTGGACAAAGCTAAGGCTGGCGGCAAGCGCGCTCCTGGCGGCGGCTCTGCTTCTTCTGCTTCAGGCGCAGCCCCCTCGCGGGGGCGACGCCACTCAGGTCGAGTTCACGAACGATCCCAGTACCAGTACAAGCAACTACACCAGGCACTACACGGACAATCACTCCAGCAAGATAGTCTTCAGTAACATGTCGGCATGGGGACCTGTGGCCAAGTCCTTCGTGCAAGCCCAGGCGAGGGAGTATGACATGATAGGGTTTACGGAGACGCACATGTCAGGCTCACGTCTGGCTGCGGCTAAAGCGGATCTCAGTAAAGACGGCCGGAAAGTCGTGTCTACGGAGGCTACGGCTACGGGTCGATCACAGAGTGGCACAACAGGAGGCGAATGGGTCATCACGCAGAAACGCACGGCAACGACATCCGTCGAAGGTCTACGAGAAGCTGAACGAGGACGGACTGGCGAAGATTGCTTCAAAGGCTTCTGTCCCATCACATGGCATACCAGAGTTGGAAATCTGGTGGTGATCTCCTGCTACTTACTCCCAGGTCTGAAGTTCGGCGGCGCCAATGAGCAGACGTTGATACGCATTGCAGCGTCCTTGCGACAGGTGAAGGATCCATGGATTTCGATGGGCGGTTGGAATGCGAAGCCGAGCGATTGGGAAGCGACGAAGTGGCTCACGAAAGTTGGAGGTCAGCTGGTCGCCCCGAGCAACGGAGAGGTGACATGCAACCGTGGCAGAGGGTCACTCATTAACAACGTTATTGCGAAGGTCGGCTTGGCGGACCCCCTGATGCTCAGGATTGTTCCTGAGGTCCCGTGGCGCACGCACGTGGGTATGTGCATTCACGTCAAGTACGGCAAGATGGGCTGGTGGAACAGGACGATGATCACGGCGAAGGGTCTACCCACGTTGCCGAGGCCAACGACCAGGCCCGACCAAGAGAGCAAGAGGCAGAAGAAGCTGCAGGAGGCCAAGATGAAGCGACTCGAGAGGCTAGAGGAACATCTTCAGGAGACCTACGAAGAACTCAACCGTGAGCCGTCGGCTTCGGTGTCCAGCGTCGCGTTCGCCATCAGCACCGAGCACTGGAAGCAGGCCCAGGCATTATGCCAGGGGGTGGGGGGGTCCCACCCCGCACTTCCTCCTGGATAGGGACCAGGCGCACCGAGACGCGATCGCCTCGACCTACGAGACCTGGGTCGGCTCGGTGGAGGAGGCTACGATTTTGCATCGTGAGCTGCCCGCGGCAGAAGCAGATAGAGTACCAGGACGCGGCGCTGGACACCAGGAGTCATGGGAGCAAACGCGGGCCACCCTTGACCGACCCCATCGTCGAGACCCGCGGAATGAGCGGTGGAACCTTTGCACCACGTTATTACTACGAGCTCGCCTGCCGGAGCAACAAATGTCACACACGGACGTGCGCACCTCATGTGCGCTGACGTGGGGACGGTTTACGGCAAACTAGGAGAGCTGATGCAGGTGGCGGAGTCGCAGGACTTGCACCGCGGATTCCAGGGGGAGGATCTGTGTATTCAGTGGAAGGGCATGGTGACGGCTTTGACGGAGATGGATGATGAGGACTACGATGGCTCATGGGACATCTCTGAGCGGTCTAAGAACCGTACGATTGGTAAGGCATTGGCGGAGGCTAAGAGATGCTTCCAAGCGTGGGCTACCAAGATGTGGAAGTCCACACCAGGTGTGCTCCATAGATATGCGAGGGGTACCATCGACAAGCCTGATGAGATCGTCACCCCCACGACGGTTTACTCCTCCCCCAACGAGGTCATGGACTATAGGGCGGACAAGTGGCAGAAGGTGTGGTCGCGTTCCAGCTTCAGCCCCGCCAAGGTCCACAAAGCAGACGAGTATGTCAACCTGCGCGCGAAGAAGGAGTTGCCAGAACTGCCGGTGGAAGACATTCGTACGGCGGTGTCCAGCATGAACGCCGGGAAGTCGAAGGGCGTGGACGCGATGGGACCCATCGAGGTGCAGCGTTTGCCGAACGAAGCGATCGAGGAGCTGAAGGACCTCTATGCAGCCATAGAGACGCACCGTATGTGGCCTGGCCAGGTTTTCGTTGTCATCGGTGCGGTTGCGCCCAAACCCCGTGGAGGAGATGGAGTGCTGGGCTTTTTACTGTTCTTGGTGAAGTTGTGGGCGAAGGTCCGAAGCTCCGAGACGCTACGATGGACCATTGATGCGGACGAGCACTGGGATACGGCCATCCGAGGGTCGTCGGCGTTACAGGCGGCTCTGGTCCGAGGTCTACTCGGTGAATCGGGTAGAGAACTACAGATTTCTTCGGCCACCCTTCTGCTGGGCGCTGCGGCCCTGACGCAAGGCTTTCCAGCTACAGCGTTGTCCTTGGAGTTGCAGATGTGTTTGGCCCCAAGATACTTGCAGGATCAATCTTGGATTTCACATGCCATCCAGTCAGAGCGAGGCATCGTGGCTGGTTCTCTCAATGGAGGTCGCACGGCTAAGGCATTCGTGAGGCCTGTCTTGGCCAGAGCTCATGACAGATACGGTGTTCGGATAATGTTGCGCACCTTTGTGGATGACACTGTTATCAGAGTCGAGGGCACCGAAAGTAATGTGATAGATACTATAACAGATTCGGGCAGCTACATGTGTGAGGAGCTAGTTCGTGCAGGTCTTACGGTGAGTGGCAAAACGGTTCTGGTGGCCTCCTCGAACAGGATTGCGACCCAGGCTGCGAAGCAACTTCGAGAACGTGGGGTACCAGTAGCAGTCTCTACGGAAGCTGCTGATTTGGGTGTGGACACGCCGGCGGGCTGAAGGAACGCATATCCAAGGCTCGTCGGCGATTTCAAGTTATACGTAGAATGCCACGGTACCCGAAGCTAAGGCACATCACTTCTTCGTTGTGGTCGACGGGAGTCCGTCCTCAGTGTACTTGCGGACATCAAGCTTACGGAGTGCCCAACCATCTCCTCGCGTGTCTTCGTCGTCAAGCTGCGCAGTGTTCGGTCGGCAGCGGGCCTGGACGATGCCTGACTACTTCGGTGGCGATGACGTTCAAAGCTCGAGATCCTGCGAAGTCTATTCGACGTGAACAACTGTGCTCATGGTTGAAGATGTGGCGAGAACATCCCGAGTACCATGCGCGTGTGGCCCTAGCTTGGGATAAGATCAGACTACGGCTTCAGATCGCTGGATCAAGGAGATGGCGGCTGGTGAAAGGACCGATTGGAGCTACGCTTGCGACATTATATGACATTGGCTGGCACCCATGTTCTCCTACGACTTGGGAATGTGATCAGTGTTGTTGGGCGATTCCGTCGGTGGTGGACGATGAGTTCGGTCAGTTTCACGGCGACTTTACGGATATTCTGGACGATGTGGAGGCGACCGTAGACTCCCAGCTGTGGAGGTCAGCGGCGAACCACCTGGACTGCACGGACCTTGGCGGCGGTGCGGACATGTATCACGTGTGCAGAGAGGTGGCCAGACTCGGCACCAGCGACCAGGGCGACGAGTGTGCCTTGAACGTGGTGGTCGTCACGGGAGGCCAGTGGACGCGCGAGCGTCTGAGTGAGGCGGGCTACGAAGTCCTGAGTTTCTTGTATCCACGGTGCCAGAGGGCACCAGAGACTCTGTTTCACAGAAGTTGGGCCTGCGAGGCCAACGTCGGACATGAAGACTCCACGAAATCCGATATTTTATGTGACCAGGCCCGAGTTAACCACGAGAGCGCCCCGAGTTTTTGGCTCCGAGGGTCCCAGGGAGAGGGGAAACGATTCCCAGTTTCAACGACGGACCCCCAGAGACCAGGAGCTTCGGGGACATCAATTCAATCCCGCGCGACGCCGAGGGCTATGCCACCGCTTTCGGGGACGGATCGGGGTGGCGCTTTTCGGATGACCCTCGGCATCGCAGGGTTGACGCGGGCGTAGTGGCGCTTGCGCCAGAGGGACTCTTTTGGAAGTCGGCCTGGGGTTTTGGAACCACCATCCAAGGGAGGAGGCAGACGGTGCCTCGCGCGGAGAGTTCTGCCCTCGCCTCTGCTCCAGAGCTCCTCCCAGGCCGGCTGCGTTTCATCACCGATCATCTGCCTATCCTGCCGACCTGGCCCAGAGGAAGGCGTCTCGGGTTTGAGAACGTGGGGGGAGCCAACGCCGACCTCTGGTCCAGGGTAGCCTCAGCACTCCAGGCCAGAGAGCCTGACGACATGCTGCTCGAATGGGTTCCCTCCCACCAAGAGGAGGCGACACTCCGATCCGACACGCCGACAGGTTCCGTGCGTTCGGCAATGAGCATGCTGACGCGATGGCTGCGGCGATGGCCGAGATTTCGTGGACGAGTCTTGCTGTTTTTGGCCCTCCGACTGACAGGAGGGATTCGGAGGCCGCCTTGATCCGACGGCGCGCGCGTCGGGCCCCGGGATGTGCGATGTTGTCGGATCCGTGGTCCGTGGACCGCCCGAAAATCAGAGGCCCTGCACCTCTCTCGAAGTTGGCGCGTGTTTTTGAAGGGGCCCTGGGACACACAAATAAATACACACAAATAAAAATATCCCCCATATTTTTCCATATTTTCTGGGTTTTTGTCTTCCCCCTCACTTCCCATATTTTCCTATATTTTCCTGGGAGTGGACGATTAATTGTGTCTGTGTGTTTTTTCTCCTCCTGAGTTTTGAGGGACTCCGACCATCGATGGTGTCGAGTGGGTGCGAAGTTTTACTGCACGCAGGGTTCGCAATCTTCGAATCACGATTCGATGTTCCAGGCGTGTGCGACCCAGTACTCGTGCAAGCGTTTTCGAGAGTTCGAGCCTGTGCGTGGACCCCAGAAAGTGAGCGGTAAGGTCCTGCATCCGTCGCACTCGTTGCAGTATTGGAGCAAATACTGCCTCACGTTCTGTAGTAAATAGGGATGTAGTTGCACCACCGACCCTCGGCAGTTGGTTAAAGAATGTACCCCCACGCCCACGCCCAAAGGGAGACAGAATTTAGCTCGAATTAATGAGGGTAAGTTTCCCCACCCCTCGGGGCCCCCGAAGGCGGTCCGTGAGGCTGAGGTGTGCAGGATTGCCACATGAGCATGGGCTTTCGTCGTCCTCTAAGCGAACATTCCCGAACATTCCTCCTCCTCCTCCTCCTTCCTCCGTCCCTCTCTCCCTCTCTCCATCTCTCCCCCTCTTCATCCCCCTCCTCCTCCTTATGCTGGTCCCCCAGAGGCCCACGATTTGCAGGAAGGAGCTGTATGCTGGAGCGCCTGCATTACCTAGCGCCCTGACCAGTCCCGAGCAACTGAGAGGGCTTCTCATGGAAGGCAACGGGCGGGCAGGATGGCCCAGGCTGCGGCGGCCATGGTCCCTGCCCCGCTGCCGCACTGCGCCGACGACACTGCCGACAGACCGGCGGACGCCGCCTTGCGCGCCTGCTTGCCCGAGCGTGCGCCCTGCGCCTCCGGCGGCTGCTGGCGGCCGTGGAGCTGGCCGCGTGCCGCGCTGCGGGCCGACCACGAGGAGCTCCGGGCCAGCAGGGCCCAGAGGTGCGCAGGCGCGGGTCGGGGGATCCGCGGCCGGCGCGGGCCGCGCAGCCCAGGCGGCAGCGCGCGCAGCAGCAGCAGCAGCAGCAGCAGCAGCAGCAGCAGCAGCAGCAGCAGCAGCAGCAACAGGCGCTGGCGGCGGGTACGCAGCCGCAGCAGCCCTAGCGGCGCGCCTGGCGCCGCGGGGGGTCGGCCAGGGCCTCCCGCATCGCGGAGCTGCGGAGACACAATCGGAGCTGCACAACACTGACGCAGAGAGCCGCACGAGAGATTCTCAAGATATGTCTCCGAGGCCGTGCCTCTGCGGGCCGCACTGGCCCCTCAGGCGGAGAAGAAGGCACACGAGAAGCACTATCAGAGCCTCAACCCCCATGTTTGGGGCCGCGGGAGCCCTGCGCACCTGGGTGGAGCCCCCGCTCCAGCCTGTGGGCCCGAGGAGGGTGAGAGAGCATCGAACTCCCCATCCTCCTCCTGCTCCTCCTCCTCCTCCTCCTTCTCCCCCTTCTCCTCCTCCTCCTCCTTCTCCTCCTTCTGCTACTCGTCCTCCTCCTCCTCCTCCTCCTCCTCCTCCTCCTCCTCCTGCTCCTGCTCCTGCTCCTGCTCCTCCTCCTCCTCCTCCTCCTCCTCCTCCGCCTCCTCCTCCTCCTCCTCCTCCTCCTCCTCCTCCTCCCTCCTCCTCCTCCTCCTCCTCCTCCTCCTCCTCCTCCTCCTCCTCCTCCTCCTGTTAAGCCCCACTGCCAAACACGCGCGCCAGGACTGGCACTACGAGGGGGGCGCGCACGAATGGAACCGTGCCCGATCGTGTCTTTCGCGATTATAACGACGTTGGGATCCTTCATCACTGTGCGCTGCCAGTGTGGACTATACCATGAAGGGTCTCAAGAGTGAATGCAAAAAGTGTGCAAAAAGACATCTCTGTCGTGGAGCATGGACACTTTGTCAAGGCCGACAGCCGCCTGTCCCGTCCAATCCACGCTGCCCAGCTCCTCAAGGAAGGGGCCAAGAAGTGCAGTGGAAGAAGTGGAAGAGGGTTGACGATGCTACCACAGGATATCGGAGCCTAAAGTATCGGGTTGGGCCCGGTCGACCAACCCCTTGTCTTCCATCATGGTATGTGTTAGTCTACCAGCAGCAGAACCATTACCAACGCGACCGTCATCATCGTCGTCCTCCTCCTCCTCCTCAGCTTCATCATCATCGCCACCACCGCGGCCGCCATCGTCGCCGTCAAAGTCAATAGCGTCACCACCGTACAACCACCCACAGCAACCTCAGCATCAGCAGCCTCATCGTCATAAGCATCATCATAACCACCAACATTTCAGGCTCATCATCATCAACAGCAACGGCATCATAGTCATCATTAGCATTTGTATCATCATCATCATCATCATCAGCAGCAGCAGCATCATCATCAGTCAGCATCATCATCAACATCATCAGCATCCTCAATATCAGCAGCAGCATTAACATCTATAGCACAAGCTGAATCATCGTCTGCGTTGTCACTATCCTCATTAGCATCAACATCGTCAACATCATGGGCAGCATAATCATAATCAGCAACAGCAGCATCACCCTCATCATCCTCATCATAATAATGATCATCATCATCACGTGAATCGTCATCATCAGCATGATCATGATAATCATCATCGTCTGCATCATTATCATTATCATCATTATCATCAGCACCATCGCATCATCGGCATCATCATCACCAGCATCACCGTCGTCGTCGTCGTCATCATCAGCATCAGCAGCAGCATCAGTATAGCATCAGCATCATCAGCATCATCATCATCAGCATCATCAGCAGCAGCAGCATCATCATCATCATCATCATCATCATCATCATCATCATCATCATCATCATCATCATCATCATCATAAGCATCATCATCAGCATCATCATAGTCATTGTCGTCATCGCCATCATCATCAGAGGCGTCACAATCGTCGTCATCATTAGCAGTGGCATCATCGTCCGCATCATCCACAGAAACGTCATCATCGTCATCATCAGCATCACCATCAGCATCAGCATTATCATCATCACCATCATCATCAG